ATAATTCAGCTATGCAGATTTCGAAAATAATATTCGTTTTTTCATATCATGTAAGGATTTTTTTACAAATCAGGAAGAAGAAAAAACTCTTATTTGGATCAACTTATTATTTCGTTTACCACAATGAACATTTTTATCATTATATGTGTTTCTCGTGTGTTCTAGAACGATCGATAAGATTCTCACGTCGCGATTGGTCTGGAGAAATCTATAGCCAGTGGTTGTCAACATTTTAAGCATAACAAAAATTTGACCCGATTACAATGAAAATGATTCACTTATGTAAAAGTACATAATCGTCTTGTGAAAAATCTGTACTTGGTGGAAAAAAATGGATATCATTTTCGAACTCAGCGTACGGGAATTACTGTGGAACATGTAAAAATTTCAAGACAATAAAATCATCGCTATTTCACCATAGAACAGACTGTACTTTGGAAGAAACTTCTAAACAAAGTAAATCATTATATATATTTGCTGTAGAAATAACTCATTTAATGTTTCTTACATGTACAAGACAAAGATATTTTTCTGTCCACGTGTTTTTATTCTAAGATATAATACTAAGCCAAAAAAGATGAGTTCGGGAAGAAGAGATCCTACTGTTCGCGGACTGATTGTATAGTGGCTAGATTAATTACATAGCTTAGAATTATGTTAATAACTTGTGTCTGATTTGTTTATTTAATTTTACACCTTGTTTCTTTTCGTTTTTGAATGAAAGTCAACGCCTGGAAACCTGTCTGATTTTGAGAAGCTAAAGATGATAAGGTAGCAGTTTATCTCTCTTTCTGCTGTGTGTGTGTGTGGAGGGGGATTGCCCCTTGAGTATATTCAAGTAACAGTTAAACCTCACTAATGATTGATATTGATAGGCTATAAGAGGTTTTTACTAAGCGATGTTTTCTCAAAACACAATGTAATCAAAACAGGATTACACTAATTCTATAATGGCCCTGATAAAACAGTCGCTGATTCTTCCATCTGTTGAGGAAAGTTGTAACTAATATAAACCTTATAAATTTGTTTGTGGAAATGGTTTGTGTTTTAAGTAATTTTAAAAGAAACTCAAAATAATAACGTTTTTTAAATAATTGTATTATGTCTAATGATTGTTTGAAAATAATAACCATCCATGAAAATATTTTTTTTTTTTATTAAGAATATAAACTATAAATGATGAACTTCTGTTACTGTGTCTTCTGTATGTATATATATATATATTGACAAATAAATGAATAATACTTCTGAAATAGTTTCTGGCATTGGTTATTGTGGATTGTTAGATAAAAAAATTCACTGGAAGGTTTAATAAAAAAGTAGTAAAAAAATGTGACGGAGAATATTAAGAACATAATCTGTAAAGTCAAGTATGCCAATGACAAAAATATTATTTTTTTCAAGTTCTTGTTCCCTGGTGGGACAACAGTAAGTCTACAGATTTACAGTGCTAAAGTCTGGGGGGGATTCCCTGTGGTGGATTCAGCAGATAGCCCAATGCAGCTTTGCTCTAAAATGACCAAACATTCAAGTTCCATCTCTGTGTGTATGTCTTTGTTTGGCTATGTAAGACAGTGTACCCTTTCTCAGAAGATGTCTCATAACTCCATCTAGGATGGCATGCCTTTTCTCAGTAGATGTCTCATAGCTCCATCTAGGATGGCATGCCTTTTCTCAGTAGATGTCTCATAGCTCTATCTAGGATGGCATACCCTTTCTCAGTAGATGTCTCATAGCTCCATCTAGGATGGCATGCCTTTTCTCAGTAGATGTCTCATAGCTCTATCTAGGATGGCTTACCCTTTCTCAGTAGATGTCTCATAACTCCATCTGTCAATGAAACTATTCACATTTCTTGGAATTCGGTACTTTTCATAGTCCATTACAAGCATCAGTGAAGATCTTTTCATGTGTTACTAATTGATCCAGGACAGTCCAGAGAGAATATATTCAATTACATTCAAACGTAGCAGGTGCATTATATAACCCAAATAGTGACACAACAAATTCCCACAACCCATTTCCTGTAGTATATGCTATCTTTTCACTGCTTGCACTTCCCGTTAGTATCCACTCTTCATATCCAAATGTGAGAACCATTCTGTCCCAAATAAAGCACTCAGTAATGCCAATCCTTGACAGTGGGTAGGAATCTTTCTTTTTAACTTAATTAATCCTTCAGTAATCCACACAGGGCCTTGAGTCTGCATCCTTTTCTTCACAGGTACAATATGTGATGCCCAGTGATTAGTACTCAGTTGTCCACACAGAGTCTTGTGTCTCCATCCTTTTCTTCACAGGTACAATATGTGATGGCCAAGGACTAGTACTCAGTTGTCCACACAGAGTCTTGTGTCTCCATCCTTTTCTTCACAGGTACAATATGTGATGGCCAAGGACTAGTACTCAGTTGTCCACACAGAGTCTTGTGTCTCCATCCTTTTCTTCACAGGTACAATATGTGATGGCCAAGGACTAGTACTCAGTTGTCCACACAGAATCTTGTCTCCATCCTTATTTTTACAGGTACAATATGTGATAGCCAAGGACTAGTACTCAGTTGCATTACTCCTTATTATTTTGTGACTTCTATTTCTTTAAGAAACAAACCTGGCCAACTAATGTATTGGGGCTTCATCTCCAGTATCATATGAAATATTTTATTTATCTGGTCTAATTCATGAAGTCCATTGGAAGGGTTAACTTAGTATTCTGTGGTAAGTCATGTAATCTGTGACATTGATCAGTTGTAAGACTTTCACAGCACCAGACTTTTTTACATTTTTTTTCTAAGATGATTACTTCTGGTGTTCTTTGGTTTAGCAGTACTAGTTGTACAAACTCAAATGTTGTGATGTTCTATTGTGAATGGACTTTTATCTCATGGCTTGTTGTGTTCATGGCCCTAATGATGACATCCTCATTCTTCAGGTCTGTGGGAGTTATTCCACCAAGTAGCTCCTCAGGACATGCAGGATTGTTTGGTTTTACCACATCCAGTCACTAGTTCTGGTAGAAGTGTCTTACTTCTAGTGGTTTGATAAAGCAGTTTTAATTTCTTAAAGATTTTAGTCTGCAGTTCCTGGACACATACCCTTTTAATTTGCAGTTGAAACATCTACTTTTCTTTGTATTGTTTTATTGTCATTAACTTAAAAATAAACTTAGATACTGAATTAAGACTTTAAAAAATATATAGTTTTATTAACTCACAAACTTTCCATCAATTTACTTATAAAATAATTCATGCTCTTTTTGATATACCTCCTGTGGTACTTTCCATTATAATCTGTTGGTTTTTCAATAGAGCAATGTTTTTGAACTTGCCTGCTGTATTCTATTATTCAACATATTAGGAGTAGTTCAGGAAGGTCATGAAGTCATAGGTTGTACAGCAGTACAATGGAGTTTTTTGGGTTTAACTTTTTGAGTGGCTGCAGGTAGAGGAGTGGCTAATTTCCTCTTTGCATCTGTCAGTTCAGTTTCTAGATATTTTCTTTTGGTGTTGATATCTCTTTCTGTATGTCATTGATGTTTTTTTGTACTTTGTTTATGTCATTTTGTACCTCTTCAATTTTATTCTTATAATGTTATAATCCATCTGTAAATTTCCTATGGCTTCTTCAATCTCATTTTTATAATTCATAATACATTTTCTATGGCTTTCTTCCTTATTTCATTCTACACTATTTATCTTGTCTTCCATCAAATTGATTTGGATTCTTATTTGTTCTCTAAATCATATACCTCATTCCTCTCTTATGTTCCTGTCTTTTTCTTCTTGAGTTTTTAATTTTCTATATCTTTCATCTTGGTCTGCACTCCACTATTTTATCACTTCAATCAAACTTTGAATCTCACATTGATCAATTGTTATCATCTTGAAGTTGAGTCTGGATTTTATATTTACTAAAATAGTCCCACTCCTGACACTGATATTATAGTGGTTTCTGGTTTTGGATAGGTTTTTTTGAATAAATTGATAAAACAAAATAATACAAAGTCCAGTCCATTTAATGATAACAAAAACATTTTATTTCTTCAACTTTCATATTTAACATAATCAGCATTCACAACTAGGCCTAACTTCACAAGTAAACTGTATCTAATAAAAATTCCACTTCTTAATTTTGTATTTTTTTTTAAACTAACAAATTGGCTGTCAGTAACAGATAAACTGACTAAATTTTGCACTGATTACTCGTTAACTAATTCATGATCTTAATCATTCACAGTAGCCTATTTATATATATATATATATATATATAGCTCAAACTGTTTTCTAAACTTTGAAGAAACTTCCAGACATTAAGGCCACCCCCATGATATTACATTAGATTTCTCTCAGATAAACAATGGTAAAAATTTATAGAAATGTCCATATTATAAACATAACTAACAAAATATTTAATCTATATCAGTATATTAAAATATATTTTGAAATATTTTTTTTCCTGTTTATCTGGTGATGTAAAGTTAGATTAGAGAAAAAATGACTTTTTGTCATTTTAAGCACCAAAATTTTCTAATTACTGAATACCTTGTAATTTTTAGGCATTAGCAAAATTAGGAAATAGTTACCTGCAGCGGAAGGTTCCCACAGTGTCTGAAATGAAAAATGGAAATAATGGTCAACAAAAGTAAGTAATCAAGGTTTACTCTAGGTTTAATAGCTCTTCTTGATAAATGAAATACATAGTTTATTATCACTGGTAAGATTTGGACTTCAAATATTAACAATTGTGAACTGCCATACACCCATTTTACTCTTTAACTTGTTTCCACTTGAGTTGTTTAATATGAATTTTATAGTGTTTATAGTTTTATAGGCTAGAAATACCGACTTGTATCACTGTACTCAAGTTTTTGAGAAAGTTCATAGTTAATGTAATGTAAGAAGTTATACTAAATGTAAATTTTTACTAATACTGGTACAACTGCTTGTTGTAAACTGGGTTCTCAAATGCAAATTTTTACTAATACTGGTACAACTGCTTGTTGTAAACTGGGTTCTCAAATGCAAATTTTTACTAATACTGGTACAACTGCTTGTGGTAAACTGGGTTCTCAGTTTTGTTGCCAAAGATAGAATTTTTCAGTGTGATATTAAATAATTAAAGGAAGTACCTGTTATATAAAACTTAAAGTTTATTTATTACCAAGAGTGTAATATCTATAGTTACTATGTTTGTGATTGTTGTACCTAATGATGCCAGGTTAACTTGGTGAAACATTGTAACCTTAGATAGTAAATTCTGTGTATCTGATAATAAATAAGTTTTAAGTGTGGTATTAAATTTAGACTGATAGTCAACAGATCACCAAATGTTTCTGCAAAAATGCAGGTTCAGGAAATGTTATGTAGAAAATAAGTTTAATATGGACAGCAAAGGAAAATAAGCAATCAGAAGTGAGCAAGTAGAATTTTTTTTATTTACAAATATATTTATGTTTATCACCAAATCAGGTGGCTTCTTACTTTCATTCTGACTTCTCATCTGTTGCTTAGGTAGGAGAGGATTTCCAATTATGTTGTCACTGGACAAGAACAGGAAAAATAGTTCTAAGAACTTATAAGTGAAAGCAAAGGAGAATATATTACGATATGTTAAACTACATGTTCAAGTCAGACAACAGTCCAAGTTTAATATGCCACAATCATTAGATTATATACATAGATGACTATTCCAAATCATATACACGGGAGATAATCACCAACTCGTACTAACTTGCACAAGTAACTGTGTCATCCCCTTGAGAAGAGCTTGCTCTGTCCTGAGGAATGGACACAGATGCAGGGTCAAACTGGTATAATATTCTGTGGGAATGCTGTGGCTATATGTAATCTTTACCTAAGCAAAAGGATTAGCACATGTTTATGATTATTCAATACCTAAGTATCTCCCTTGTATTAGTTTAGAATATATCTGTAGTAAGGTATATTCAAGTAATTTTCTAATTACTTCCATTTAATTATGACATGGTGAAATTATCAGTTATTTCAACTGCAACAGCAAATAAAGTACATGTTTATCTGGGAAAAAGTTTATGTTTTTTTTCATGAAACGCCATAGGATAGAAATAATTTATAATGTCAGATTATTCTCTGATCTGGAACAAATTTTTTTTAGAATAATTATGGTTACTATGCTAAGTAAAATGTTAAACCATTAACTGTGGTAGGAGCAGCTCAGTTGCCATTTTCTGACTTACAGATAAAACTGAGTTGCCATCAATCACAATAAAACGGTAATTTTCATCATTTGCATAGAGTTATAGTTATATATGTGCGACTGACGGATATTTCTGTCATTCGCAGCTGAGCCATAGAACTTCAGTGACGGAAATATCCGTCATCCGTAGTTAATGAGTTAATTTTGATGTTTAAAATATATTATTTTCCAGCTGTTTCTTAATATGGAACCAAATAGGGTAGAGTATGAATAATACTAATAGTAGTCGGTGATTTACAGAGTCCCTAGAGTTCTACAAGTTTCATAATGCCCACTTAATTATTACTGTGGTACACTATTCTGCATAAAGGCCAGTGTTGAAATGTTAGTGTGTATAAATGCCACTAGTTGCATAATGAAATAAGAAATTAGTTGCTCAAGTGTTGGATTTGTTCACTTGAAAATTTCTAAAAAACAATTCAAAAATACTGCTAAAAAGTGAAGTTAAATTTACAAAAAACACCACCAATTTCATACAACAGAGAATCTCAAATTTTGTCTTTGTTGTTTGCATCTCTCAGATGTCATTTGAAAATAGTTTGTGATGTTTTGAGGCTAATTAAACCAACACAGTGTAAGTTTGTGCTTAAACTAGGCTTTATCAGATGGATCAAATGATTGTAAAATTGTAGATCAGCTTTTCACCTCAGATGGTCACCTCTATAAATTCTTCAGCAGGCAGAATTTCAAAAAACAAGCAAGCATTTATTTGAACAAGTTATTTCTTTAAAAAAAAAGAGGGAATTTTATTTTCCAAAGACACCTAAAAATTGCACTCTCAAAGTTTGAAACATAAATATTTTTCAAAAATTGTGGGTATCTGGAAGCTGCCAATTATGCATCATAAATTTGAAAGAAAGTTTCTGATTTTGTATGAAATACTGACAAGAAATGTATTTAGATTTTCATCAAAAGCATTATACCAGTTGGAATAGATCATGTTTTATTTGGTGAATTTATTGATAGTTTAAATTTTTGATGTTAAAAAAGTTAGTAAATATACAATATATGAAATAATTATGGGTGCAAAATGGGTATAAAATGCAAATATTATGAGATTGCTTCAACTCTAGTTATGAAAATGAACTGAACCAAAGCACTGTCGTATGTTGGTAGTTTACATTATGATTGGCTGTTTTACCTAAATCCAACCAATCAGACAGAAACACATCAGCATTAATGCTTATAACATAATGTTTATAGAAATACAACCAAAAAACTTGGCTGAATTGTGGGGAATAATACAGGACACTTGGAACAGTATTTCACAATCTTACATTAATAAACAGTAAGAAAACAAAGTTTATTGCTCCCCTTAAAGCAAGTACAAAATACTAGTGCACTGTACAACTTACTTGATTTTCTTGTATCTGTAATAATGTATTGTAGTAATGATAAATTGACAGTTTAGTTGCATTTACTCATTGTTTGTGATTTCTGTATGTGTATTACCTTTGTGTTTCCATAATCATTTCCAATACTGAACGTTCATATTTTTCTTGAAATAATTCTTAGTTAAACAGAAAGTTACATTAATCTCTTATGAATCATAGGACAGTGTACACAGTATGGAAGACCTTACTGGATGAAACTATCAAAATAGCTCAGGCCAAACAGGCAGCAGTGGATGTATATCAAGAGGTGTCTGATAAAGCTAAAACATTACGAAATAACAAACTACAAGTTTCAAAAAAGGTGAAACTTTTATGTCTACTTTCCTTTTGTTTGATCTCTCTTAAATTATTTAATAAAAGTGACTTCTATATCAATTTGTTTTTAAGGGAAAAATTGCACAATAGAGTCTCTGAGCTGTGTCTCAACTACAAGGACTGAATCCCAGTTTTTTAGCATTATAGGCCCTAATGCTTTCTATAAGAAGTTAACTAAAATAATCAAAGAATTAAATAAAAACATGAAAATAAAAGACAAACAAAAACTTGTTTAACAGTAAAATTTTCCTCTCCACTCATAATCTGTTTCTGTGAGTTTTGTTTTATTGTTTTAAACAATATTTTTAAATCTTGGAAATTATTTTTTGATAGGCTAGTAAGAAAAACTTTTTTCTTAAAGTTAATTACTTCTTTTACTATTTTTTGAGTACCTGGAAGATATAAGGTACGTTAGTTGTCATGTAGTGATGTGGTATTTTCAGATAAACTGATTTTGCAAAACAGTAAATAAGGTAGATTCACTGTATAATGGTGATGTTGTGCAAGATAAGTTACAAAGTAATTCTGACTAAGCTTGGTGAAGAAAGAGACTGGATACACATGTAAAACATAATGAAATGATATTTATTCAAACTCCCAAACACAGTCAAAATAATCTGTGTATGTTATAGTCATCTTAGAAGATGTTGACTCTTCTTAGAAGTTGTTAAGGTGTTTATTAAGAATTAATTAATTTTACTTATTAAACTTTAGGAGAGTACCATTACTTAAAGACAGGACTTAAACTTTACTTATTAAACTTATGGCTTGAATTTGAGAGATAGAGAGAGCTAACTATGAGGTCATAGTATTATATACCAAATTCTATAATAAAATGTTCCTCGAAAACACGAGCATCACATGTGTTGCTCTTGGTCAATCTCGTTGAAACATAAGGAGGTTTTAACCTTGAGATGTCATCTGATCTATTATTGGAGAATGCTACTGTTGACTTTCATGTATGAGATGCGGTATTACAGCCGTACTTCCATGGATAGACCAGGGGTTATCTCATTAGGAATGACAAAGAACAAAATCAATACATACCTAGAATGTATTAAAAGTTTGAAAAATTTTACATTAAAATAAAAAGGTAGAACATTTTTAGAATACCTGCATACCACAGTAACATAGAAAGTACCAAAAAAGCCTTAGCAATAATTGAAGCACCACCTAGCAACAGAATTGATTAATTATTTAATAGATATGCTTTAAAAATGAATCCATCTATGAATACTGGTTGTCTGGAGAGTAACTTAGCATCATAAATTTATACTTTCAATAAAAATATTGTTAAACTTTAAATGGTATTAGTTGGAAATATTGACTCATGAAGAATTGTTCAAGTTTTTCCAAATTTCTACATATGAATTTAGAAGACAGTTGCCGATTTCCTGACAAGTATCAGAAAGACCAACCTGCAAATAACTACAGACTTGTTCAAGAAATAAGAAAAGTGATTCTGATCAGATAACTTAACTGAGTTTTCTTAATGTGTGTGTGTGTAAAATAATGAGACTGGATAAAATTGGGAAAAATGAAACCACAACGTATGTATATGCAGATACAAAAAAAGACAGTCATTTCTACTAAGCCTTGCTTAGTCCCACAGCTTTCTCTCTCTCAGGATAGACTTTCGTTCAAATGAACATGATGATCTTAAAATTAAGTCTTTACTCTATAACGTCCTAGTAATCAATGTGTTCGAAGGAAAACGAAGTTTGATTATCCATGTCCCCTTTTTGTCAATAAACAATGTTGTATATCATAAGTGTCGTAATCTTGTTTATAACCTCCTAGTAGTACTGATTAAAGAAAGTTCACCAAATTCAAAGCATAAATTCGTTCTATTTGCCCATTCAAAAGTGTTGCCTCATGACCTTTGTTCTTTCACAGCATTGGTCATCTGTTGCATTCAATCAATGTTTTAATCAGCAGTAGAGAATGTCACAGTGTCAGTCCTCTTAAGCCAGATGTTGTATATTACTGCAATATTCTCTCTGGCAGAATATACATCACCTAACATATAAAACAAAGAAACAAACCAATTAGAACCAAGTGATCTTAATGGACCATCAATAAAGCATGTAACTAAACAATTAAAAATGTTTTTAATTTCTGTACAACTAAAGCCAGGTAGAAAACATATGTGCCTTAATATCACAAAACATTTACTGATTTCAAACCACATTAGTTAAGTCTTAGTTATAATTTTAGTAAAAGAGAGACTATTATATGCTCTTTCATCAAGAAAACTACAGTGCTGTTCATTGATTGTAATGTTTTACTGCTTAGTGTTTTGACAACATTCGAAAGATGCATGAGGAGCTACAACAAAGTGCGCAAGAAGTTGACAAAGCCAAGAAACTCTACCTTGAAGAAGAACACATGGCTCATGAAGCAAGAGAAAAAGCTCAAGAAGCAGAAGAGAAGTAATTATAATTTTTTTATATTGTATAGATTTTTTTTTTTGACTTATGTTTTGATTTAAACTCACGTTATGTAAATGTTTGGGAATGTGAGCACGTAGATCAAAATATTTACAAATGTGCTATCAACAGTGTAGAGGATGGCTTTATTGTAAAATATTTGGATGTCAGAAACAGTTCTTACACCATAGACATATTTGAGATTGAGCTTCCCAATTATATTTCTTCAAACACTGTTTTGTAACAAAATATTAACAACAAATACTCATAAGTTTGGGAAATGTGATGTTACATGTAAGTAATTAGAAGAGTGATGGAAGGTCTTCTGAGGGAAACAGTTTCATTTAACAAATATACATATTTTTTGCTTTTTGTCTAAGTTATGTATAGAGTTCTAAGGTTACATTATGTTTGATGAGTGTGAATAAATACAAGTATTTGGAAATAATAATGATTAATTATTTCATAATATAATACTTGTTCAACAAATGCTGTCAAATAAAAGTATTAACTAAATGTATTGGTATATTAATTTATATGAATATAATTTCAAAGATTTTATTGAATCAGGTTTAGCTTAAAGATCCTATCGAACAAATAAGGAGGTACTTATTTGTTCTTAACTATGAGGCACAAAATATATTAATTTGTAGAAATGGTAGATGCTGTGTATTCAGTAAAAAAGTTGTGTATGAGTGTAGTGCTGTAGTAGTTGCTCAGAACTGCAGTTCATAATAATGCTCAGCTACTATACCTGTATTGATTAGAGAGATTGAAATATATTACAGAATATTTAAAGTAATTAGAGCTTATGCAGTCTCTTCAAGCAAACTCTAGTGGGGTCTGTATATCATCTTTTACATAGGATCAGTATTTTTATGTAAAGAAATACACAAATAATTTAGTTTTGACATCATAGCAGTATTAAAAAAATCTGTATACAGGGTGAAATTAGGATAAAAGTGGTTCTTTTAAAGGATTATGGGAAATATCCATCTCTTGGGTTATTTGTTGTTCGATATGGGAGTATGATTGCTGTTTATTTTTATTATTTCAGGTTAAAGAAAAAAAAGGAAAATTTTTTCAGTCATTTTCATCGTTGCAGAAAAACAGTCTTAAAGTAAGTGAACTTTATTTACAGTGTCGATTCTCAGAAATGTTATCCAATTTCAGTGAAATTTGTATAATTGTTTGTTAAATTTCATTAAACTCCATATTTAATGTTACTTTTTTTTTCAATATAATGAAATATTTATTAGTTTCATGTAATATGTTTGAATTTTAAGCTAATTATATTTTTGACAGCTTTCTTCAAGGAAAGAGGCTTGTGACATTCAGGCCACTAAGGCTCGTAATGACTACATTCTTACCCTTGTAGCCGCTAATGCCCATTTGTCCAGATTCTATGAAGTTGACCTTGAAGATCTTATACAGGTACAGGATGAATATAAAATTATCTTGTTAATTGTCAACATCTACATAAATTTTATGATATATATGATAGCTGCAGGGGCATTTTATGTTTTATTCATTGTAGTTGTAGTTTGATGTATATTTAAGTCATAATAAAGAATTTTAGTCTTTTTTTGAACTAGGGTGAGTGATTTGTTGTGAAAACTTATAGGAGTGAATGATACTGGAAAAGGTTGAGAAGCACTCTTCTAGACCAGTGGTGAACAACTCGCATCTCACAAGTCACATGCAGCTTTTCTGTGTTAGAAATGTCCGGGCAAGTCCAGTGACTAAATTAATAACTGAACAATTGTGTGATTAGTTTCATAGGGCATTGGAAACTGTGTGACACATAAGTAATTAGATATAAAAGTAAATACTGGAAAAAGGAAAACAACTTCTAGAGTGAGTAGTATGTGGTAACAAATCATTTCTAAAGGACCATTTAATAAAAAATTGTAGGTGAATATTCATATTGTAATATTGTAGTTGGCCCTCTTTAAGGAGAAATTTTTACATGAAGATCAAAACTATAGTTCAGAAGATGCTGTAAGTTGTGACTGTGGAAGGCTTATAATCAATGGTTTGTTGATCCACTGCTAAAAGATATGTCACTTTTAGACGTTTCACATTGTCAACAACATATCTGAGTAACGTGCTTTTATTATGAGTCTGTTCAAATTGTCACTTTTTAACCAATTAAGTATTAAGCCTTGTTGTCTGCCTGATGCTCACCTCTTGAAAGAAATGAAAGGCTTAAACTGTGGTTAAAAAACATTTTTATATGGTAAAAACTTATTATCTTTGTATTTTATTGACACTAAGAGTTTTTTTTTAAATCATAAAAATCTTTAGTTTGTGTTTTCTTTTTTACATGCTTTTTCAGAAGTTGAACAGTGAAGAACCATCAAACTAAAAGTATGGAAGAATATTAGCCATCTCATTGAAACTAACTTATAATGATCCAATCAGTAATTTTATTTAGTGTGTGACTTCTTGTAATTTTTTATATTTCTGCAGAACCTGGACTGTGATATATACGATAAGATCAAAGAATACGTTCAGCTGGTTTGTCGATCTGAGCTCGTTACTTGTGCTACATGGCAGTCTTCCTTCTCCTACTTACAGGGAGAAGCAGAAATTGTAAGTATTGTAGTTTACCTTTTATGTAATGTAGCAAATAAAGTAACACTAACACCTTTATATTAAGTTGTTCTAGTATACAGCATACTATGACAAAGGCATAAGACAAAATATTAGTTAAATAAACAGTTTTGACTGATGCTTAAGTATTTTTAATTTTATTACAGTTTAGTAGGGAATGAAAACTTAAAGACAGTGATTGTAGTAACCTTTAAGAATGACCTAGTGAATACTCCATTAAAATTCAGCAACTACATTTTCATCAATACTTTAAAAATATGACCTGTAGAAAACAATAAAATGGTTTGAATATTATAATATAGAAATTTATAAAATATTGATTTTTAATATTTCTATATGATTTATGTAACTATTGGATGAAGTAGAATGACAATTTTATTTTATAAAGACACTTTATGGAACATTAATTTTCTAGCTTGTCGAAACATCTAGGGACTATGAACATTGTTTTAAAATTTTAAATAGACAATAAATGTTTATATATTTCATAACAACTAATAAATCTAATTATTTTGATGTAACACTTTGTAAAATTCACTGGGTGCACCAGAAGCATATTTAATTTGTAGTTTATAGCAAGGTAAAAGGTGTTCACATACCTTAAATGTTATAAATTATTATCTGTTTATTAAGGTTTTAAAATTACATAATATAAGGTTATTAGTTTTTACTCAAACTGAAATGTATGTTTACCATTTTCACTAAGTTGTTTCTCACTGATTGAATTAATTTCAGGCAACAAAGAACTATACAATGGACTGTTTTTTAAGTGACAACTCAGTTTTGTCCAAGTTAATCCAATATAGTTTTGATCCTTGTGATGGAGATACAGTGAGTGAAATCCTGATATTTTATAATAATGTTCCAGTGATGAAAATTTTTAGAAATTATGTTGACACAATCATACTCAATTATTATTTAATAACATTGTATGACTAATAAAAATCCTTAGAAATTATGTTGACACAGTTATAAGTTACTATTTAATAACATTGTATGACTAATAAAAATCCTTAGAAATTATGTTGACACAGTTATACTCAATTATTATTTAATAACATTGTATGACTAATAAAAATCCTTAGAAATTATGTTGACACAGTTATAAGTTACTATTTAATAACATTGTATGACTAATAAAAATCCTTAGAAATTATGTTGACACAATCATACTCAATTATTATTTAATAACATTGTATGACTAATAAAAATCCTTAGAAATTATGTTGACACAGTTATAAGTTACTATTTAATAACATTGTATGACTAATAAAAATCCTTAGAAATTATGTTGACACAGTTATAATAAGTTGTTCTTGATTTAGTCTCACTCATTGTGTGTTTTTTATAAGTTTTACTTGCTAGTTGATACCAAATGATCTTATAAGTAGCAGTTAAGCCTTTAACAGGTTTTTGGTTTCTAAGGAATACTTACTTGCTAATTGCCAAAGAATCCTCTTCTCCACAGAGAACTTAAATGTGTTCTTGCTAATTGCCAGAGAATTATCTTTTTTACAGAGAATTCAGATATTTACTTGCTAATTGCTAAATAATTCTCTTCTCCACAGAGAACTTAAATGTGTTCTTGCTAATTGCCAGAGAATTATCTTTTTTACAGAGAATTCAGATATTTACTTGTTAATTGCTAGACAATTCTCTTCTCTACAGTAAACTTGGATACATACTTGCCAATTGCTAGAGAATTCTCTTTTTTCCAAAGGGAACTCAAATATTTATGCTCTAATTGTCAAAGAATTCTCTTCTATGCAGAGAACTCAAATATTTATGTGCTAATTGTCAAATAATTCTCTTCTCCACAGAGCACTCAAATATTTACTTGCTGCTTGTTAGAGAACTTGAATGTTTATTTGATAATGTCTAGAGAATTTCCTTCTCTACAGTAAACTTGGATATTTACTTGCTAATTGCCAGAGAATTTCCTTCTCTACAGTAAACTTGGATATTTACTTGCTAATTGCCAGAGAATTTCCTTCTCTACAGTAAACTTGGATATTTACTTGCTAATTGCCAGAGAATTTCCTTCTCTACAGTAAACTTGGATATTTACTTGCTAATTGCCAGAGAATTTCCTTTTCTACAGTAAACTTGGATATTTACTTTCTAATTGCCAGAGAATTTCCTTCTCTACAATAAACTTGTATATTTACTTGCTAATTGTGCTAATTTTCCACAGAGAAATTGTATATATACTTATTAATTTTTGTAGAATCCTCTTTTTCCATGGAGAACTTATTGTGGGGAAGGTGAAAGGTATTAATATAAGTGAATGGTAAACCCTCACAAGTTGCTGGACTGGTTGTAGATTTTACTTTGAAGACTCAAAACAATTTTACCTGCAAAAGATTTAGCAGTACAGCATAACAAGCTAAATTTTGCAGTTGAAATACTGTAATTCTAACAAATGACCTTTTATTAATTTTACTTATTTTAATTTTTTGACAAAAGAGGCGCTTAACATATTTGACACAAATTTTCAAAAACAAAATGATGGATATACTTGTGCATTCAAACCTATTTTTTATTCAGGTATATTTTATTTGTAAATTACTTCTGGAAGAGTAATGGAAAAAAGTTACATATTTATAATAAATATTAAATAATAAATTTTGTGTCATCTACATATAGAGGGATTTAGGTTATCATATTTCATTTCACTGGCCTATTATGACTGAACAGGCAGGGAAGATATCAGTTTGTATTACCTGTGCATTACATGATATCTATTTCAATCACCTTGACTTTATGTAACCTGCTAAACACTTGGATGAATCTACAGTATTGTCATTTGCATTATGTCCAAAATACATTTTGTGTGTATTTTCCTCATACTGAAGTCTTGGTTGCATTTTCAATACAGGTAAAGCAACTTTGCCATTTCTGTATTCTTTCTTCTTCACAAATCCCTTCAACAGTTCAAGTACAACTTAGGTATCTACAACAATATGTTGATTTTGCACCTCTTTGGACTAAGCATGTAAAGGTGTTTTTGTTTTTTTTCTGGTCCCAGCTCACCCAGAATATTTCACTACAAAAAGTGCTGTCTCCAAATGGAAGCATCTCTTCTCAAAACCACTAGTGATGTTACTATTTTATGGGTGCAACTCTCCCAATTTTCATACATTTAATGTTGCATATCTTCCACCACTTCCACTAATGTTTTAAATTTTAGAAATATCGAGAGATCAAATCCCCTATGTAGTATGTGAAGTTTGCAGATTCTGGCCACAAATTGATATTTTGGCCAGGTGGTTAGGGCGCTCGACTCACAATCTGCAGGTCGCGGGTTCGAATCCCAGTTACACCAAACATGCTCGCGCTTTCAGCTGTGGGGGCATTATAATGTGATGGTCAATCCAACTATTTGTTGGTAAAAGAGTAGCCGGAGAGTTGGCGGTGGGTGGTGATGACTAGCTGCCTTCCCTCTAGTCTTACACGGTTAAATTAGGGATGGCTAGTGCAGATAGCCCTCGTGTAGCTTTGCACAAAATACATAACAAACACTTGATATTTCTATTTGCATTCCCTTCAAATATCAGTTCTGTACTTCTCACTCCAACTCAGACCATGTCATTTTCTATGCACCATCTCTACTAAAAACAAAGTTACAATTAACATAATGTATGCAATATGACTTTTTGTTATTAATAATTACACATAGCATGTTCAAGGTTACATTCATATGTAATGTTGTTGTTTTAATTTTTGGCTCCAGTGGCTCATTGTAGCTTCTCAGTGACATCTGCCTTCTAATTTATCTTATAATAATAATAATATATAAACTGTCCATGTACTCGGAAATTTTAAGGTTTACACCACTTTTCCCTTTCAAACTGTGTATTTTGAATTCTGTAGGTGACCAAGATTTCAACTGAGAACAATGCAGGTCTTTGCTTAAGTAAGGAAGCCAGGAAGTGGGCTTCCTGTATTGCTAAAGAGAATCGAACTTTAAGAGAGTGTTATGAAGAATTAGGTAGACTTCAGTTTGAAGCCATTGGAAAAGAAAAAGTAAGATTTTTTATCTGACTTGTCTCAGTAAAATGAATGTGGGATGAAGATGTTTACTAAAAACTTAATTCTTCCTTTTTTAAACGTATTTGAACAGCAGATGCTCTCGGTGTAATAACGAAGGGGGAAAAAGAAAGAGTTGTAGTATTTCCTGCATAAATGACAATACATCACCAGTTACTACATTTTCTAGTTGTTTTCTTTATTTGGTTGCATTTAATATATATCATCTTCACAGAGATATGTGGTAACTGTTTACAGTTGAGTACAAGCAAACAAATCTCTTGACGTTTCACTTCAAAATATTCTGATATTTCTATTTGACTAAAACTTTTCTACAGTTCTTTATGAATATGATTTGAGTAGATTTATTAAGGAAAAATATATTTATGATAATTATATCTGAAATAAAAGTGAAAATGCAATTAAAGAGGTGATTTTCTGTACTAAACTGTACACATTTTCTACATCTTAAAAAATACTTAATCCATGATCATTTATTGTTGATACCACACAGTGCAAAACAGAAATGTTAAGCATGTGGTCCATGAAAGCATTTTGACTGGCTTTTAAAGGGTGTGTACTAATTGCCTTTAATTCATCCTGTAACCACATCATATGATAAAGTTAGCATCTTCATTTCATGTTATGGCTTTGAACTAATGACACAAGTTAATGCCTGTTCTAAGTATAGTCCAATCAGTGTCTGAGTTGCTGATTATGAGTCACTGGCCTTGTACTTGAGAGAGAGAGAGAGTCTGCAAACTGTCATTTATTCATGAGTGTGGTTCCTAAGATAAATTTGTTTCATGCTCCTGGTATGAGGAATCAGGGAAATTCTGTGATTATTGAATTTCACGTTAATTTTCTACTGACTGTTAATTGTTAAATTTATTAACAAGAGTTTCATATTTATATCCATGAACTTAAATCTTTGAATATTATTTTACACTTATAATGTTTGTGTAATTTATATATGCTGACCTTTAATGTTTTTTGATGGCTTGAGTCATAGTATTTTTCTTCTCATTTAAAAGTACATGGATGTTTCAAAATCTGAATTTAATGTGTTTGCTTAATCTCCAGTTCAAAAGTTACCCCCAACTTTTGTTTTTCTATAGGGAACAGATTCATCATTTACTTACTTAATGTTTTTGTAAAAATGTTTTTGTTTATAATAATCAAATTTTCTCAGTCTCTCTTTCTTTTTTTAAGAACTACATTAATGTAACAACATTTGTAAATGATGATCTGACCATTCTTTATCAGTAAGGGTAAATAAACCACTTAATTTTTTTTAACTGGAGTGGATCCTGGGAGTCAACACCATATAAGATATTTTCTATCTTACATGTATGATAACAGGTGATAGATCTTGTATTTACATTGATCATGGTGTGCCTGGTGAACATAATCTGTTTTTCTATATCAAATTTTTTTGGACTCTCAATGGTACAGAAAATGACCATAATATTTAGTTATCAGCTGAAGAAATCTATAATTACACAACATAAATCTAAAAACATTTTTTCATTGAGCATGATTGTTAAGGATCTGATTATACAAGGTAACCCGAAATTATCTTTCCTATTGTAAAATATAATAATTAAATAACTAAGGAAATACAACCATGCAGTTTTCAACATCTTGTAGCCACCTCAAACAGTTTTTATTGACATGTCAGGTGATTTCGCCATGTGCACCATTAGTGGCTTTCAGCACATCTAACTGATATTCAATATTAGCCCATAATTACTGAGACGATGGCATTCGTTATCCTTATCTTTAGTTCTGCAATATTTGCTGTATGTGTGCAATACATAATGTTCTTAACATCCAAAGAAATAAATCTAGTGGAGTTGTTTGATGAATACGGGGGCCATGAAATTGGCCCACCCCAACCAATCCATCGCATTGAGCCTTTTCTTGGATGGTTGCCATTTGATGGGGTAATGCTACTTACTGGAGTGAAATTACATGACAATAAAAACTGTTTAAGTTGAGATACGAGATGTAGAAAACTGCATGGTTGTATATTTTTTTAGTTATTTAATTATTAAATTTTAAAATAGGAAAGATAAGTGTGAACCACCCTGTACTTTCCTTTCCTATAAAGTATATAAATTCAATAATAATATCTGTATACTTATGGTACCAATTTCTATTTTTATTTACATGTGAATGTGTATTATAATCTTTTATCAAATTCTAAGATTATCTGTGTGATTATCAATTGGTAAAATAAGATCTCAAGTCATTAAAGTATATTTTTTAAGCTCTGTAATCAGTTGTATAGATAACATTGCTAAATTCATGTTCAAATGTACTGGAGTTAATATGGTCTATCTATTTAGACAAATGTGTGAGTATCACCTTTTCTAAAATATCAACCCTAATTATACCAGATTAATTTATTTTTAAAATTTCAACTCTAATTATACCAGATTAATTTATTTCTACAATATCAACTCTAATATACCAGATTAATTTATTTCTACAATATCAACTCTAATATACTAGATTAATTTAGTTCTACAATATCAACTCTAATTATACCAGATTGATTTATTTCTACAATATCAACTCTAATATACCAGATTAATTTATTTTTACAATATCAACCCTAATTATACCAGATTAATTTATTTCTACAATATCAACTCTAATTATACCAGATTAATTTAGTTCTACAATATCAACTCTAATATACCAGATTAATTTATTTCTACAATATCAGCTCTAATATACCAGATTAATTTATTTCTACAATATCAACTCTAATATACCAGATTAATTTATTTCTACAATATCAAATCTAATTATACCAGATTAATTTATTTTTACAATATCAACTCTAATATACCAGATTAATTTATTTCTACAATATCAACTCTAATTATACCAGATTAATTTATTTCTACAATATCAACTCTAATTATACCAGATTAATTTATTTCTACAATATCAAATCTAATTATACCAGATTAATTTATTTTTACAATATCAACTCTAATATACCAGATTAATTTATTTCTACAATATCAACTCTAATTATACCAGATTAATTTATTTCTACAATATCAACTCTAATTATACCAGATTAATTTATTTCTACAATATCAAATCTAATTATACCAGATTAATTTATTTCTACAATATATACTCTAATAATATCACCTTAATTTTATCATCACTATCAGTCCTGACCAGACCTCAAGTATGAAGACTCTCCACTGTGTTTGGTCTTCTGTCCAGGTCTTTATTTCTTGTATCCCTCTCTAATGTTTTACGCTAAGTATCTTTTGGTTTTTCTCTGCACTTTCTTCTAACTGGCTTTATCCCATTGTTTCTTTTGCAATATTTTCTCTTTTATTCTTAGAAAATGGCCATAGTACTTTCACATATATAACATGAGTTTTCCTAAGATTTATTGTTGTCCACTTCTTTCTTTTATATGATCAAACCATCTGATTTTTGTTACCTTTTTTTTAACAATTCCTTTAAAATCTTCTCAATCTAGACTCAATTTCTAATATTTCATTCCATGTTTCTTAGCCACACAACAAAACAAATCCCATTAATTTAGCACTATAATATAAACTGTGTTGAATCATCTTAATTTAGTTCTACAATATTAACTGTATCCCCATCACATTAATTTAGTTCTACAATATTAACTGTATCCCCATCACATTAATTTAGTTCCACAATATCAACTGTATCCCCATCACATTAATTTAGTTCTACAATATCAACTGTATCTCCATCACCTTAATTTAGTTCTTCAATATTAACTGTATCCCCATCACATTAATTTAGTTCTACAATATTAACTGTATCCCCATCACATTAATTTAGTTCCACAATATCAACTGTATCTCCATCACCTTAATTTAGTTCTTCAATATTAACTGTATCCCCATCACATTAATTTAGTTCCACAATATCAACTGTATCTCCATCACCTTAATTTAGTTCTTCAATATTAACTGTATCCCCATCACATTAATTTAGTTCTACAATATCAACTGTATCTCCATCACATTAATTTAGTTCTACAATATTAACTGTGTTTGAATCATCTTAATGTAGTTCTACAATATCAACTGTGTTAAATCATCTTAATGTAGTTCTACAATATCAACTGTGTTTGAATCATCTTAATTTAGTTCTACAATATCAACTGTGTTTGAATCACTTTAATTTAGTTCTACAATATCAACTGTGTTGGAATCACCTTAATGTAGTTCTACAATATCAACTGTGTTAAATCACCTTAATTTAGTTCTACATGTAAAGTATGTATACATCTTTTTTCCACACTTTATGTATTTTTTTTTCTTTGAGTTTTAATTGGCACTGAGAAGTATTAAACATTAAAGTTTATTTTCTAATTATGATAAAAAATGTTTAATAATTGTATGTAATTCTTGTTTATTTGGAAATAAAACTCCGTGAGGACACCTACAGTATTGTTCAACATAGGAAGGTTCATTATTTGTATAAACCTTAACAGTGAATGACTAACCAATATGATTACACATATTTTTACATGTCATAAAAAAAACTCAAAGAAACCTTGTTTATTCAGTCTTCAGTATCTTTAAATGGGGAAAGAACTGGAACTGAAATTGATCCGGAAGTGAGAATCGAAGAGCTTCGTCAGATGATTCGAAAAGCAGAGGTAAGATGATAACTTTGTAACTTTACAGTGATTCCTATTTTCTGATGCATCTGTGGGACATTTAATGAAGTAGAAACAAAATGTGGAGGCTATATCTCAAAGAATTTCTTATAATACCTAAAAAAACATAAATCTTGCAATCTTCTGAATAATGAGACAGGTTCAAAGCTGAAGAAAATATTGTTTGTTTGTGAGATTATGGGAATGACTTAAAATGTTCCCCTTGCAATGATTCGTGCATTCTAATGGTAAAAGTTTTGTAGAATGGCAAAGGGGATGTTGAGCACATTCTGAAATTATTTAGGCACTTGTGGCAGTGGATGTGAAAGACTCGTGTAATTATGGAACCTTCAACCAAATGTCATGGCTCCACAAACAAGTTGATGCATAAATAGCTGAGAAAAAAATTTATTTCAAAAATAGGTGTGTTAATAGGGATTCCATTGATAATTGTAAGATTATGAAGTAAAGTAGAATATCATAATACTTTTTGTAAATTAAGACAAGATGAATACTCATCATTTGACTGGAAATAATGATTAATTTTTCATCTCAAAATTAGTATCTTAATAAATGTCCCCCAGTGGCACAGCGGTATGACTGCGGACTTACATTGCTAGAAACCTGGTCTCGTTACATGATGTGGGCAGAGCATAGTTAGCCCATTGTGTAGCTTTGTGCTTAACTTCAAACAACAAGAATAAATGTAAATAAATGTTTTATGAACATGTTTTTTAAATTTTATTATGACTAAACTATTTCTAGTATTTCACAAAAACAACATTTTTATGTATATTTGGTCATCTCATTTAAGTATTGCTCGATTAGCATTTTGACTTTTGTATATTTTTTATGTCACGTGCAAATTTTTATCTTTTTGATAAATCCTTATAGATTGAAACATGCGAAAAACTGATTCTCAAAGACATATTCGTATCTGGTCAACTGTATGACCCTGCAAATTATTAGTTGTGATGGTAAAGGCAGTGAATTATATTATGAATTTTGGGGTCTTCTCTTTAGACCCCGAATGGTTTTGGCTTTGTTAGCCTGCACAGCTGAAGAAGTGCACTTTAATTTGGGCATTTTAAAAATTGAAATGTGCTGCGGGTAAAACATGCGGGATATCATAGAGTTGTATCCGAGGGTACCGATTGAACACAATTTGGTGATGTTGCGCCATTGTGTCTTCTTGACAACCAAGCAAACGTAATGGGGAATTTCAGCCAATGATCATGATTTTTGTACGCTAGAAATACCAAGCGTATCTAATCGTGCGCTCAATGTAGCGGATCGTCCGTTATATATATATATATATATATATATATATATAATAATAGTAGTAGAAGTAAATTAAAGTATATATACGCGACGACGAACGAGTGTCGTTGTTGTTCGTAGTACGTAGTCGTACGTGTACGTAACGTAC